GGGCGCGCACTTAAATAACACTATCTGGCTTGGACGCGCATGGGCGCGCACTCTAATATCACTGTCGAGCTTGGGCGCGCATGGGCGCCTGCCCAAATGGCACTGCCCGCTGCAAAATACAGAATCACAATTGAGAAGTCAAACAGCAAAGCGAGCAATGGCGCCCAGTCCCGAACTCGACAGTGTCCGCTGCGGAACACAGAATCATGATTGGCAAGGTCTACTTCGGCACGCAGACTCAAATTCGTCAAAAGCCGAGTTTTGCAAATCAGGTATGCGGTGTCGCACTTAAGATCAAATGCGCACAGTCACACTTGCTCAAGATCATCAATGTTGTGTTTTAAGGGTTGAGTGTGCAATGCCGCACTGACTCAAAATCATCAATGCAGAGTTCTCAGACGTAGTGCACGCTGTCGGACTACATCAAAAGCGGCATTTCTCAAATAAAGAGCGCAGTGTCGCACTCAAGTCTGAGTGCGCACAGTCGCATTACATCAAGTGTACTCAGAGTCAATATGCCTCATCGAAGCGTCTGCTGGCACAGTAAATCGACAATAAATCGAGATGCTCAGCTGAGGTGCCAGTGGGTACAGTAAATCGACTTGCTCAATTTGAGTGCCTGCCGGCACAATAAATCAAGATGCTCAACTGAAGTGCTAGTGGGCACAGTAAATGGACTTGCTTAATTTGAGTGCCTGCGGGCACAATAAATCAAGATGCTCAACTGAAGTGCCAGTGGGCACAGTAAATCGACTTGCTCAATTTGAGTGCCTGCGGACACAATACATCAAGATGCTCAATTGAAGTGCCAGTGGGCACAGTAAATGGACTTGCTCAATTTCAGTGCCTGCGGGCAGAATAAATCAAGATGCTAAGAGCAAGTACAAATTCGACCCTCAAATACAGCGCGCATGAGCGCATAGTTCCTTGGACTCAGAGGATGACCCTTAAAGCATAGTGTGCGCGTGCACACGTTTCTCTGGTTACAGTAATGAGGTGCTCGTGGGCGTACAGAGACAAGACCAACTGTTCCACAGATCCGAATGGCAATGGCACAATCGGCGGTTCCACAGATCCGAATGGCAATGGTACGCTCAACAGTTCCACGGATCCGAATGCACAATGACAAAGTCGACAGTTTCTCGGATCCGAAAAGTAGTGGAGTGCGCACAAGCAAACAATGGCTAGATCAGCAATCCCTCAGATCCAAATGGCAATTCCAATCTTAATCGATGCTGCACAGACTGCGCCAGGCCGCGCCAGACTGACACAGACCGGATCAGGACTGTGCCAGACTGCGCCAGACCGCGCCAGGGTGGCACACACTAGATCGGGGCTTCGCCAGACTGCACCAGCCTGCCAAGTATCGGATCAGGACTGCATCAGGCTGCGCCAGCCTGCCAAGTGACAGATCGGGACTATATCAGGTAGCGCCAGCCTGTCAAGTGATAAATCCAGATTGTATCAGGCTGCGCCAGCCTGCCAGGTGGCAAATCAGGACTGTATCCAGGCTCGGGAGTACGTGAGCGCGCAATCCTCCGGCTCCAAAATGGCTCTCGAAACAACGCGCGTGAGTGCACAGTCTCTCAGTTCTGAAAATGGCTCCCCAAACAGCGCCCGTGGGCGCACAGATCACGGGGTCAACAATGGATTGAGTACGCATGGGCGCACGGATCACAGGCTCAACAGCGGAACATGGACTGTGCGTGTGTGGACGCACAGTCGCGTATCTTCAAAAGCGGTTTTCTCATATTACGGACGCGGTGCCGCACTCAAATCTTAGTGCGCACAGACGCATTGCATCAGTGTTGCTTTCTCAGATTAATAGCGCAGTGTCGCACTCAAGTCCGAGTGCGCACAGTCACATTTCATCAAAGTGACTTTCTCAAATTACAGGCGCAGTGTCGCACTTAAGTTTGAGTGCGCAGAGTCGCAATTCATCAAAATGGCTTTCTCAAATTAAAGGCGCATTGTCGCACTCAAGTCTGAGTGCGCACAGTGGCAATTCATCAAAATGGCTTTCTCAAATTAAAGGCGCAGTGTCGCACTCAAGTCTGAGTGGGCACAATCGCAATTCATTAAAATGGCTCAATCTGGGTGCCCCTTGGCACAACCAAAATCGGCGTACTCAATCTGGGTGCCCCTTGGCACAGCAAAAATCGGCATACTCAATCTGGGTGCCCCTTGGCAGAACAAAAATCGGTGTACTCAGTCTGGGTGCCCCTTGGCACAGAGCACACAGGCATACAGCGACTTGTCAGTTCTTCAGCGCGGTGCGCTCAGACATACTGCAACCTTTATGCGGTGATGGTACACACCGGAAATAAAATAAAATAAAATAAAAACCGGGGCTTATTCATAAGCGACTGGTCTGACTAAGGGGAGATGACGAAAGTGAGTAAGGAGAGGGAGGAAAAAGTGAGGGAGAGAAAGGAGCAAAGGGGGAGAGAGATAGGAGGGGAGGCAAGGGAGAGGGCTATGACCCTAGTGAGAACCAAGACTACCTCTTCCCCAAGCTGCTCCTCTCCTTTACCTCTCTCTTGCTTGCCTTGGTCTTTCTCCTTCCCTTGCTTGTTCCAGCGCCACAACTCCTGTTTGCCGTTCCGCCAGCGCTTCCGCATTCCCACAATTGAGGGTCTCCCTTCTCAAGTGGCTCGGCCTCTCTTTTATAGTGAAGAGGCCGGGTGATCGGGCAAGGTGCAGCAGCCCCTGGGCTAATAATAGCACAAGCTTGTGCTGAAATTAGCACAGGCCTGTGCTAAAATTAGCGCGGGACTGGGACAGTCCCGATTCTGGGACACGAACAGTCAGTCCCGTGCTAATAATAGCATGGGCCTGCGCTAAATATAACGTGGGCCTGTGCTTAAAATTAGCGCGGGACTGCGCTAAAATTAGCGTGGGACTGGGACAGTCCCGACCTTGGAACACGAACAGTCAGTCCCGTGTTAAAAATAGCATGGGCCTGCGCTAAATATAGCGCGGGCCTGTGCTAAAATTAGCACGGGACTGCGCTAAAATTAGCGCGGGACTTGGGATAAAAATAGAGTGGGCCTATACTATTCTTAGCACCGACCAATAATAAAATTAGTGTCGGGCCTAATCTGGCCCGACTTTGGGATACTAAGGGTCAGCCTTGTTTTTTAAAATAAAAACACCCCCTTAACGTTAATAAGGCCTAATACCGTATCCCCTTGACCATTTCGGGCCGTACCCTCCCCGACGCGGTAGGTCCGGTCCCAAGTGGTCAATTCTCACTAACCCTTGGTCCGTTTTTAGTGTCGTTCGGACCGGCCCCTACTAATTCGGCCCTTGCGGACGCGGCGGTTCAACCCCAAAAACCGTGATTCGATATCCATGGGACTGGACCGTCGCGCCGTCTTGCCGCTGACTCCACCTAAGGGCCAAACGAGCGTGTCAACATTCTGCTGATCGTGACTACAAGCAGCCCTATGGTGCGGAGGCTGGCCGCGACGAGTCAACTATACGTTGACGCGGCGCGCCGCTCTCCGACAACCATACCAAACCCCATTTCTGGCGTCCCCGCCAGGATCCCTCTACCATAAGGGGATATATGTACACATCACTTCTATCATTCACCCTCAAATCCGCTTAAACGAGTGCGCGACGCTTATCGTGCTTTTTGCTGTCGTTGCTGCCATCGCCGATCTCTGCTTGCTCGGACACTCGCCGCGCCTGTGCTATCATCGCTCCCGACTTGCTCGTTCTCTTGTCGCACTAGTGCTTACCATCGTGCAGCTAATCAGCATTTGCCATGGCGCCAAAGATGCGAGGCTCGGGTGCTGGACGTGGGAGAGGAGGCCGACAGGGGAAGGCGCCAGATCGACCAATCGATCTGACGTACGAGGGGGAGAGATCCGAAGAGGAGGAGGAGGAGAGATGAGGAGGAACACGCTTGCGCCATCGCTCAGAGGACCAACGTGGGTGCACTCCGTCGCCGAGGTCAATGATGTACTATACATATAAATACGAGCAGCGCTATGGCAGCCCGCCTCCACATTTCGAGCCGCCCTCTCTATCGTACCCTTCGCCATATCGTCCTTCTTCTTCTTCTGATCAGCCACCTCCTCGCCAGCTCACCATCCTGCCACAGCCGCCTCGCCCTGCGCCACCACCAGATCCGCCCGCCGTCCGCCAGACTGCGCTGCCCAATCATCGCTCGTGCGTCATACTTGCGCTATTCTTCATATGCCAGCTTGAACTGTGCGGTCTCGTATGCTATCTGATATATAGAGGCATCATATAAAACATATCTAAATCATCAAAGTGCTCGCCCGCTAGGGCTCGAGTGGTTGCTCAATAAGGCATGGACCTCTGGTCCAAGCTACCATCAAAATCAAAGAAGGATTAGTCTTATCGAACTTGCGTGGTGCAGTCACCGCACGCAAATATCATGACCGCTCATGCAGCCCAATCATACTACCAATCCCGTTCTCTTGCATTATTAAATCAGTCTCAATCTTAGGTCAATCCCCTCATTAGGCTTGACCTTGTGCATCATCACAATCAGGCCCAATCTTAGACCAAACCCTATCGTTAGGTCTGGTCTAGCAGTCCAAGTCTCAGTCGTGGCCTGCTCGTCTGAACCTCATCAGATCAGTCCATCTCATTAGCACAACATAATCCTCATCATCATCTCAGTTACAGTCCAGCCACGGGTGGATATGGGACTAATCATCGAACTCAGGATCATCTGGGTCATCTTGACCAAAGGCCGCCTCATAAGGGGGAAACATACCAAACCCCTTTCTCTTTGTCTGCTAGCACTGTGCCACTTACTGTCGGGTCATACCAAACCCCGTTGTCTTCATCAGGCTGTAGGGTACCTGCACAACAGAAGTCATGTCATGCCAAAAGAAATACGAGAAAAAGGGCCTCTCCTAAAGACCCTTGCCAACACCCCTTCCTCACTCACTCTCAGAGTCTTACCTTTCGGCCTTCCGAGAGCACCCCCGCTCGCCCTGGTGGGCTCCTCCGCTAACCCAACCCGGCAAGCAGAGCAAAGTCAATCCTGATTCCCAGTCATGGCGGTCCGACCACCCTCGGAGCCCTTGCTTGGAACAGCTCACGGGGATCCGCACACCCCTTCATGAAGCCCTCACTCCGAAGAGTTCAGACCCATGGATCAGAAGCTCATTAGTCGACATCAGAGCATTTGTCTACTCGCTTGACTTCTTGACTAACGTCCGACTCTTTGCAACTGTGCGGGGAGCCAGCCAACACCCGACCAGACCCGACTGGCGAGTCAAAGCGAGTCCACAATTAAGCTTTGCAACAGTGGACTAGGAGGCCATAATGGTCTTGTTGCAAGCTGGGCAGTGGATACCTGGCTTGGCCCGATGCCAAGGGAATGCTCCTGGAGACACGGCTCCCTAGAAACACCCCGATCATAGTGATAGTAGGAGTCTACCACCTTGATCAGCCAAATGTCGGATTTAGACTGGGAGAGGCTCAGGATGCCTCCTTCCTTTCCAGCAGGCAGACCAGGTCGCCACGTGGCGACCCGGGAACGGCTAACCACCCGAGGGTTCGAGGCTATCAGCCACTATGGCTCGGACACCCCGTCAACCCAACTAGCCTCGGAACCTGTGAGAACCTTCACGGAATCATCTCTTGCTCAAGAGGCGTAGTTGAAGCTCTCTACCTCTTCATGAAGGACATGAGTGCTGACACCGCAGGGGACGCCACTGTGGTTAGATTCTCGCCGGTGAACAGTTGCGAGAACCCAGCGGCTGCAATGGGAACACTCCTTCCATCAAGAAGAATGCAGCAAGCTCCAAACCGCTGCGATGCTGAGTGATCTTCGCCCCGACCACAAGATCGGACAGATCACTCCATCGCCTATGACACATAACTGACTACCTATCCCTTCAGAGCTCGGCAGTGTCTTACGGCGAAGGCCCATCTGGAGAGGAACCCCATCCGATGATGTTGAGTCCCTTGCCACTGGAACACTTCACTGGGTTAAGTACCACCCTCTTTCAGGAATAACCAATCAACTTGTGCAGATGATGCTAGGCAATCCTCCTTACACTATCGTACTAGGAGGTTGCCCCATCAATTGAGCGCTGACTTATGAGAGGAAGAAAACATATTTTCACATTATCCCACAACCATTCATTCCACAATGCCATGCAGATCAATAAAATACAGTAAGAGGCAAGAACTGAAAATCTCGAGAACTGGCTCCCAATCCCCCAAGCATATCCGAGGACTGACACGTGACAAGCCAGATACAATGCAATGAACTGAAATTTTAAAATTTTAACTTACATTCATACAAAACTGGGGCCAACCAAGGCCCGACAGGCACATGAGTCCACCACTGAGCCAAGCTATCATAGGCTGCTCATATCCAACTCCGACATCCGAAATCATGCTGTAATCATAGCAAGCCGACTGTCGGCTGCAGCTGGCGGCACACGGGCCACGTCCCAGCGTATAATCATCATCTATAGTCGGCGGCTCACTGGCCACGTCCCAGCACATAATCATCATCAATAGCTGGCGGCTCACTGGCCACGTCTCAGCACATAATCATCATCAATAGTTGGCGGCACACTGTCAACGTCCCAGCATATAATCAACATCTGTAGCTGGCGGGAATATTGTCCACGTCCCAGCATATTGTCATCTGTAGCTGGCGGCAACACTGTCCACGTCCCAGCATATCGTCTGAATCTGTAGCTGACGGCAACACTGTCCATGTCCCAGCATATCATCTGAATCTGTAGCTGGCGGCAACACTGTCCACGTCCCAGCATATCGTCTGAATCTGTAACTGGCGGCAACACTGTCCACGTCCCAGCCTATCGTCTGTAGCTGGCGGCAACACTGGCCATATCTCAGCATATAATGATCCCGCGGTTGGCGGCACACTGACCATGTCCCAACCAATGCTGAGCGCACACTGGCCACGACCCAGCATGTCAAGGCTGATGCTAGACGGCTCTCGGGCCTCGCCCCATCATTTTGCCCGACCTCGGAATCAAATCTGCATCTCCGAGTATGAATTTTCGGAGTCAGGAGCCGGATTCTATACCATGGGATTTCGTTCCATCCATCTCTACTAACTCATAGGCCTTGCCTTCAACCTCTCTGATGATCCCGAAAGGTCTCATCCACCTGGCCTCCAATCTCTTGGTCCACTGCGTCTCGAGAGGTGTATCATGCAGAAGTACAATATCCCCGACCTGAAGTCGTTCCTTCCTCATGTACCTCTTGCTGTTCCATCGTGTCTAGTCAGATAACCTGCTGTCTGACATCCTCTTTGTGGCCCCGATTATGGCCTCATCCACTTCCTTGATCTGCCTGATCCTCAGTCTCAACAACTCCTCTGTGGAGTATGACTCTCTCTGTGCCTCATGGGTCCAGGTCTCAACCAGGTTCTCAATGGGAGAAGTAGCATACCGGTCGTATCAGAGTGTAACAGGTGCATAACCTGTAGTCCGTTTGACAGTCATATTGTCAGCATAGACAGCCGCTCTCAAGAAGGATGACCAGCTTCTGGAATCACCTCGGAACCATTTTGATATAGCATCCTTTAGAGTCTTGTGACCTCTTTCCACTGATGCATTAGCCTGAGGGTGATATGGTGTCACAAATCTGACTCAAACTCCAAGTCTGAACATGAGCTTTCTGACCATCTCGTTCTTGAATTTTGATCCCTGATCAGCCACAAACTCACGTATGAAGGGGTACCTTAAGAAGATTTCCTCGATCCAATCTGCGACTGTTTTTGCAGTTTTCTTACGGATGGTTTTTGCTTCAACATAACCAGACATATTATCTCTCATATTTAGTATATATTTCATTCCATCCTTACCAGGTGGCATAGTAATTAGATCAAGGTGAACAGTACTACCAGGCTCAACAAGAACGGTGGGGTATAAGGGTTCAATCAATCTCATAGATCATATTTTCTGACAGGCTTCACATGACTTACAATATCTCATAACCATATCCCTCAGATCATCCCAGTGATATAGTCGGGATACTTTATAGTATGTAGCATCAGCCCCCCTATGACCCCCTGCTAGACCTTCATGCAGCGCGGCAATCACCTCTAGTTGCCTTTCCCTACCACACACCACTCTCAGCGGCGGTAATCCTTCCTCAGCATCTACAAAGAGGTGACCCCTACGTAGCCTAAAGGTCCTCTTTGTTCTCTCATGACAGAACTCGTTCAAGTGATTATTGCTCGTCACCATACCGATCCTCTTATACTCTCCGTCGTATTCTTCCTTTCTAAAACTTTCCCCATCATCCTTACTTTCCTCTAAATCTTCTGACCCATCCTCTGTCTCATTCAATCGATGCTCAGTCATTCTTGAACTCTCACCCAGCTCATGAGCTGCAACAGCAGCTTGTTCTACCATCCCATACCACCCTTCTTCCTCATCCTCTTGAATCAAGAGGTAGTGGATATAGGAATCTTCTTTTTCACCCCAGCAGTCTTCTCTACTGGTCGCCATGGCTGAGGCCGTATAACAATTAGGAGCAGGAGGTAGCCCTTCATCATCGTCCCCCATAAGGAATTCATCAACGAAGGGTGCCTCCTCAAGAGATTCATCATCTATTGATCCCCATTCCACACGACTTAGCCCATCAACCCAATTCTTATCAGTAAGTACCTTTTCTAATACAAAGTCATACGTCCATATATGAGTTATCCACCTACTAACCGTAGCATCTACTTGCTGATGTCTCTTAACAGCCTCAATTACTGTCGTGAAATCCGTTCTTAGGATGAATCTTCGTCCCATACTGTAGTGTCTGAACACCCTGAAACAGTGCAATATTGCCAGAAGCTCCTTCCTAAACTGGATATAGCCTCTCTCAACCGAATTAAGGGTGCGCCTCTCAAATCTAAGTGGCCTTTCTTTACCATTCTCATCTCGCTGCACGAGCACTCCTCCTAATGCTATCGGGCCGCCGTCGGCTTCAATGATGAAGGGCCTTTCCCTTTCATCGTCGAAGTAGGGTACTCCCAGTATGAACCCGCCATCTCTTAACTTATCTTGAAGTGTCCGCGCAACCTTCTCTCTTTGGTCAGACCACCCTAAGCTAGCTCCTTGTCGCACCATTTCTCTAAGGGGCTCGGCTTATCCTGGCAAACCCGGGAATGAAGATCCGCCAAAAGCTGCAGACCCCTAGGAAGCTCCTTACTTCCCCAACTATCCTAAGAGGCATAGGCCAGTTTAGGATTTTATCCACCTTCTTAGAATCGGGGGGTCTCCCTTCCAAGAAGCACTTGAAACCCAAGATCGTTACCTCTCTGTCGAATAGTAGTGATTTCGGTCCGCTAGCTGTTAGATTGTACTTAAACAACCTTTCTAATAGTTTCGATACTCCCTACGCATGTTCCCACACAAACCGCCTAACTCGTCCATCCACTAAGGTCTCATCCTTTTCCTTTGGTCCTTGAACCGGATTGTCATCAATGTATGGGAACGTAACCTTTGGGCATATGTCCTCCATGACCTTCAACATATCTCGTTGGACAACCGCGACCCCATTCGTCCACCCTTGAGGCACCACACACATTTGTATGAGGCCTTTAGGCGTGTGCATGACCGTCATAGGTCGACTAGTAGGATCTATGGGAACTGGTTATAGCCAGAGTACAAGTCAACTAGGGAATAAATGCTTCTTCCAGCGAAAGACTCGGCCAACAAATTTGCGTTCGGTAAGCTACCCGCATCGCGAACAGTTACTGAATTCAACTTCTGCAAATTCTGTATCCATCGCAGACCTCCTCCTGGCTTCCAAAAACAAAACCAGTGATTGGCATAAGCACCATCCGCTGGTTCTGCAACGTTGGAGGCGATTTTCTGGTTTACGTACTCCATTACATCTTTTTCATCCTTTTGAGCATATTTCGTAGGTCTATCATTCCAAGGCGTGTGAGGAATGGTCCAGATCTTGACCATCTTGATCATGTCAACGTCCAGTCGTCCCCTCTCCTCATCATTAAAGTTTCTGACATAATTCATACATGAAATCCCTCTCAGCCGGCAGAAGGAAGTCGCCGGTTCCTACCTTCATTATCTTGAACCTCTCCGGGGTAATTCTTCCCCTCTCTAATGCAGCCTCTCTTAGTCTCTTAATTATCTCTCTTTATTTCTCTAATTCCTCATTATAATCCTTCTCTATCAGGACTTCCACCAGATTCTTCTTCACTCCCTTGCGCTTATACTTTCTCTTAGATCCGGTGGCTATTTTCCTAAAAAAGGACCAGTTGCAGAGAAGGTGAGCTGCATCATGGCAACTTTTGCTGCCCTCACAACATTCTTGAATCCTTCCATCTCTGTCTTGTCACTTAACTCCTTTTCTTTATCCAGGAGCTCGAGCATCTTACCAATATCATTTACTTTAATCATTGTCTTCTTGTCTATCATTCCACTTTCTTTCAGCTTTGCTCGTACTTCCTCAATCAACTTGTCAGATTCTCCATGCTTAAGAGAATTAACATGTCGCTGATGACGAAGATGATGCCTATCACTTATCACAAAGGCCTGTTCTTGACCAGTGACAGGATCCTGGAGAGAGAGTCAGGTCGCTCCATTATGGCCAAAGAATGCACAAACCTGCATTCTATGTAGGAAAGGGGCTCCGAGAATGCAGTTATGATCCAAGTTGGGAACCACAAAACTAAGGATCTCGGCCCGTAAAGTCCCAATTCGGATAGGCAGATCATTAATAAATCCCTCCAATGGTTGGAATCCGACTATATTGGAGAGCTAGTGGTTGGCTTTCCTATCTATTCCAAACCCACATGATCTCATCGTGGCCGAGTACATAAGCACCATCTCAGCCCCAGAGTCCACTAGGGCTCTAACCTGCACGTCGTTTACGGAGATATTAAAGTACCCACACGACATGTAGCCAAACCTCATCTTGGTACCACGCGGGGCTCTTTCCACATATTGGGGGAAGAGTCTTAGACTATTGACTTCTACCTTTCGCCTCTCAACCATCTTTTTGAGCTCTTCCCTAAACTTTGGCACCAAGGCTACTGCCTCTTTCCAGGATAGAGTGATCTCGATTTCCTCAAGTAGCTTCTTTTCTACTTCATCTATCGAGACACCCTCCTCGGCCTCAGATCTCAAGACCACCATCCTGGCAGCTTTCTTTCCTTTCCCTTCCTTCACTAGGTCCTTGGTCCCATCGATCAACTGGTCTAGCTCTCTTTGAGCCTTCTCCCGCTTTTTCTCTTCAACCTTTTTTTGGCTGATATGGGATACATTCAGGTTTTGGCTTCCAGGATTGTCGTCTCGAGCCACTATCTCCGGAGGTAGCATACCGTCAAAGGTGACAACATTAACCCTAACCTTCTTCCTTTTATCCTTATTGGCCTTAGCCTTCTCTGGGATTACCACTCGCATCCCTCCTTTGACTCGTAAGTCTACCTTGTTCCAATTGGCATCACAGATGTGCCCATTGGCATTCTTCTTGACAATATCTTCTTTGAGTTCCTTCTCTAGTGATGGGCACCGGGTTAGAGTATAACCTTCCTCGTCATGATAATAACATCGGAAAGGGTCATTTTTCCTTTGCCAATCTCGGCTCTTATTATTTTTCTTCCAACCCAATCGCGCTTCTTTTTTTGCCTCTCTTTTCTCTTTCGCCTAGCGTCTTCCTCATCACTACTTTCGCTCTCCCTCTTACTCTCTTCCTTTTGTTTCTCCTTCTTCCTTTCTTCCTTACCTTCTTCGGCTCCAACAAGTGCTTGAGTTGCTGGGGCAGGAAGAGTTAACTTTTCGAAGCTACCAAGCTTAACAAGAAGACCAAGGATCTCCTCGGCCTTCAAGTTTCCTCCCATAGCTGCCTCAACATTTCCTTCTATTGCATTAGTGATTGCTTTCATCTGTTCCAAAGACCATTTCCTGTTGGACACGGAAGGCAACTCACGGACCATCTCGACTACTTCATCCCACTTTAGAGGATAATGGGCAGCACGACTAACCGCACTCTTCCTTTCATCCTCCGCGAAGTTAGTCAGTAGAACATGACATTTTTGAGCCTCGTCTAGGAAGGGTACTCTCCGCGCAACCCTCTCAAAATCCTCTAGAAATTGATCAAGGGTAGCATACTTGGAACGTCGTACATCCAACAAATTTTGCATGGTTGTTGGGACGTCATACTTGGCGTACTCTTCCAGCATCTTTTGTCTCACGTCTGTCCACGTTGTCAGCCCTTGTGTCGTTTTTGTTACCGACACCCTCATCTTAGGTTTAATATAGGCTAGCAGAGCTTTCAACTTCTGTTTATGCGACCAACCATGGCTAATACCGAAGACATCATAATCTTCTAGGAACTCCATAATCTTCCAGGAACTCCCGAACCTTGGTTCCATCAAAGCAGGGTATGTTCTTTGGAGGTACCTTAGCTCTCGGAAGGTCTAGACGGACATTTATAGTGTCCATCCCGGTCTTCATGGCCTCTATTCGGTTCAACATCTCTCGAAGAACCTCGGTAGTGATTACTTCTCCATCCCCAGCAGAGGAACTAGCACGGCTCTGCCATGCGTTTGGTCCTTTGACCATCTTATCTAGTTTACTGGTTATGCTCCTCCTTCTTCCTTAACCTTTTCTCTCTTAGGATTGCGTTTAAAATTGGTTCCCAGTTCCTGCCGTCAGTAAAACTTCCTGGCAGATGTGGCTCAGGAAACCTATCAAACAGAATCGGTGTTAAGTCACTAACTACTCTTACCCCTTTTCTTTCTAAATCCTTCTTCTCTTGGTTAACTATATTATTAATACAACTCTGAAGAGACTCACGATCTGTCCCTTTCTCTCTCAACGAGGGAACATAGGGTCGAATATCATACTCACCAGTGTCGAGGAACTTCACTACAAGGATATACGCCTTCCCAGGGGCATGATTCCCTTCTAGGGATATGCAGCGTTCTATCTTGTAGGGAAAAACTCCCCCACAAGTAAGAGGAACTAAGGCGTCCAGTGTTGCCGTGACTGCCAGACAGTAACCAGACATTGTCTAGTCCCTAGCGACCCCCATGATCTTATCTTCGATCCGTCTAATCCTATCCAGCGCCTGAAGCGTCAATGTTGACACCTCTTCACTTCCTATCTCTTTAAACAGTGTTAAGGATCGGTTCCCAATCCTCACCATTGACGAAGCTATCTGGTATAGGAGGACTTGGAAAACCCTCGTACCTAGTAGGTTTCACACTCTAGGTGACTTTCTTACCTTCCTTCTTGAGTTCGTCTCTGTATTTACAGACGTGACTGAGTGCCCACTCGTGAGACCCAGTATACCGCCGCCAGATCTTCCTAGTCACTGGAGTATATATTCGCACGTCGTACTCATCAGTCTCTAGGAAGCGAGTTACTAACACATACACTTTCTCCTCTGTCTCAGGTATAGCTAAGACAGTGTATCTCTCAATCTCATAAGGAAACGCCCCTCCTACCGTAAAAGGCTCTAAATCCCGGAGTAGGCGTGAGATGACCGAAGAATTAATGTCTGGTAATTCCTTTCCTTCAGCCTCCTCCCAAATATGCCTGCTTCCTAGGAAACTAACATGCCCCTCAACCATAACAACCTCCTTTCCATTGTCACATGAGGGAAAACTCAAGAGAAGCTTCGTCTTGAACTTCGAACCTACGTACAAAGGTCTCAAGAGACAGCGTCTTCGGTCGCATGACTAGCTCATTCTCTCTTTGCCTTACTAACCACGGCAATAGCTTCTAGAAGAGGCGCCCAGTCTCGCTTGTCAGTGGATCTATCCGTAGTCAGAAAACTAGGGAGTCTTTCGAATTGCCTGACTCGTTTCCCCCATGTCACTTTCTCATGCAAGCTTCAAAGCAGCCTCCTTACCCTTTAGTTATTGTACACTCTCCTCATACACTCTAAATAACCTTCTTCCTCTTCTATTCTTTCCTGAGCATAAACCCTCACGTCAAGCTCGTTAGTCTTGAAAAATCTGACCGCTGGGACATAGAATACTAAACGCCCTTCCTTACACGGTCGTGTCTCAATATCTTAAACGGACTGCCAGTCTCAGTTACTTTATCTAGCCATCCTCTACCAATGGTCACAGTCACAATTGACATAGAGTCTTTACATCCCAGTATCATTGCCTTGGGCTGCTTCTAGCGCCTCTAGCCAGACTGTCCGCAGGACGCTGTCTAGATAGGATGGTCTCATCTCTCGCATGTAACATCACTCTCCTGCCATCCGAACTCTTGCAATCCAGCAGATGTCTAATCTTAGTCTGACCTGTAATCGCTCTAAAAGCAGCCGCTCACATAAGCTCAAGGTAGTGCTGTACCATGCCAATCTCGCCATGCCTACCTATCCTAGTGTCACATCCTCTCACAGCCCCGATGACAATCGCTTGCTGTTCGTCTAGAAAGACCTCAAAGCAGAAACTCTCTCCATCATCAGGAGTGTAGACATCGATTAGCATATAGCTCACCACACTCGATCCCTTAATACCGCGTTGAGGATTGATCCCCAATCCTTCCCGTCGCAGAAGCTAGCTGGCACCAGAGAGCTTGGGAACCTCTCAAATTCTTTGGGTAGGACACTCCACGCCATTTTCTTTCCTTGTTGTTTCAGCAACAACCTTTCATCTAGGATATACTCAGCAGCAACTACCCAACATGCCTCATGGTCAACCCCTCTCCTTGTTCCAGCAAATACGTATGGCCTTACATCATACTCATTTGTATCAAGAAAGCGGACTACAAGGACGTATAGAACCACTGAGTCGTGCTCACAAGTCACACACCTCTCAATGACGTATGGGAAAGCACCGCCAGTAGTGATCTTGGTCAGTGTCTCTATCGCTCTAGTTACTGCCGACATGGGCTGCTTACCAGCTCTGCCTTTTCAGCGCTGCATTGACGATTGATTGTCAGTTCCTACCATCGCAGAATCCTTTGGGTACTGGCGGGGCAGGAATCTTCTCATAAATCCTAGGCAGTAAGCTCCAACTCGCTTTTATCCCTTGCTATCTCAACTGATCCCTCTCGGCTTTGACACACTCCACTATGACATCCCAGTTGGCAAAGAAACTAGGGTCCTGATCAACCCCTTCTAAGACGTAGGGTCGAATATCATAATCATCCGCGTCAAGGAATCTAGAGACAAGCACATGCACATTCATTTTGCACAAGTAATACATTTAACAAATATCTAGGGAAAGGCACCACCACAGGTGACACGAGTTAGGGCTTCTAGGACATTATACTCTTCAGTCATCGTCTGGTTTCTGACTTTTGAACCTGTCAAGCGAAGGGCCCAGAAAACAAATTCCAAACCCTTGCTTGCAGGTCTGAATCACTTCAGATAGACTTCTGCAAGAGGTCCCTCCTCTTGGGGCTCCTCTAACCGGAAGTCTTTCTGACCTGAACCAGACCTTGTACGAAATATACTAGACTGCTGCCTAGTCACAGAATATTGTGACCAAGGTCCGCTCCCAGGAACTCAAAATTTTTGAGTCCCCGGCAACGGCGCCATTTTTGTCGCGCCCCCACCTTTTCAAGGCGCGGTTCAATGTCCCTCCCCGGCCGAGTGCAGTGGGTTGATGGACTGGCAGGCTATGACGCAGGATTTTGGAAAGTTTTAGAAAAAATAGGAGTGAACCTAGAAGCAGCCTTTGTCTCACAGTCAAGTAGTCAGGGTTATCCCTCCTGCCAGCGGCGACACGGCTTAGAGTGAGGCGTTCGGTTTTATCGCCCGCACCTGACCCTGTATAAAGGTTAGACTCAAGGTCACCGGAGTCCCTATTATGCAGGAGTCCTTCAAGTAGCCTTGAGTGTAACCTATTATGATAAGGAGTAATTAATAACTTGTTACCTCATGCATAAACGTTCCATGCATTACAGGGCATACATCATAAATCAGATGACATTGAGAGGACGAAAAAACCGGAAACCAGACTTTGCAAGAGCATGACCAGAGACACGAGACTGAAGAGTAGTACACAAAGAATGGAGGAAGTAGCCATAAAGGAGGGGCTGCAATCACTGATAAATCATAATAATGTCATAATACATCTCAGTGACTAGAAGATACGAGCCTCAGTCAATAACAACGAGTGGTACCCCCTTATGAGTGGGTTCGGCTGCCTGGGACTCCGTATCTGGTACACCTTGATCCTCCTCATCATTGAGAACCTGAGTGGCTATAAACTCCGGGACCACATAGCTGATGTCAAAAGATGCTGCAGGATCGATCTTGCTGATATATGCCATACATCTCGCCATCTCCTCATCCGCGACACTCCGGAGGTACAGCTCCTCGGCGAGAGAAATGCTGCCAGTGGCACCGATCAAGATCTCAATCCGTCCCTTGCCATAGATGTAATCATAAGAGACCTCCAAAAAACGGTCTCCATAGATTGACTTCCGAAAAGCCTGTACAACGAAGTCTGCTCCCACCAAATGACTGTAGCCATCCCCAAGATATGGGACAGGTCCCTTCCCCCTAGAAGGGTCGGGTACCTCCTCTGACTTGGGCCCTCCTGACATGTAATGCCTGGGTCAATCACCCTGAAGCAAGTACCGTGCCAAGAAATAAGCAACCCGTCGTAGGGCAGCTTTCCGCCTGCATCTCGCTCTAATGACCAATGTCATAAGATGCTCTTGGCCTGCTCCAAACTCGAGTGTACTCAGTCCCTGTGAGTATCCCAGTCAAAATAGTCCCCCAGGTCAACATCGCTCACGCAGCAAGGCTCTTGGTCTGACTTGTCCGTTTCTAACCTCTGTAGACAGGTGGTAATAGGTATCCCGCATCTGGCCACCTCGCTCCTGATCCTCCTATCTTGACGCCTCTATTCCTTGCTGCCACCTCTGTTCAGCGGTTTAGGATTACAGCCGTCAAATTCATAGAGGGCACCACCTGGTGCAAAGGGGATATGGGGAAACACCACATGTAACCCGTGTTCCCTCCAGTAACTCTCCCTACGGAAGATGTAGTCAGCAATCCGGTCATAGGTGGTTCCCTTCACTCCTTGCCCAGCATCTCTCACGTGATAAGTGATCACCAACGTGTACCTCGATGTGGGAGACTCATTGGCCCGAATGACGAAGCTCTGATGCCCAATGTGTATATAGCAGAACTTCTCAACCAGCTTACCCCATGTAGGGGTTGTCTCATGTTGAGAAGCCAGCTTGACCAATCTGCAAAATAAAATAGAATGCTCCTGACAAGCTGCTACGCCAAACAATGATGTCCTGGAGATGAGGTGGATATCAACAACTCAGGAAAAATAGCCCAACTCGACGGGGTCAGAGAGGACAGCACCTCAGTAGACCCTCCAGCCAAACTGGTAACAACCAACTCAGTATAGAGGCCCGCCTGAACGGGCCTGGCTGAACAACAATCAACCTCTTTATATGGGCCCACCTAAATAGGCCCTCCTGATCAGCAACAACTCGATACAGGGGCCCGCCTGAATGGGCCCAACTGATCAGCAACAACTCAATATAGAGGCCCGCCTGAAAGGGCCCGGCTGAACAACAACAACTCGATATAGAAGCCCGCCTAAATGGGCCCGGCTGAACAGCAACAACTCGATATAGAGGCCCGCCTGAATGGGCCCGGCTGAACAGCAACAACTCGATATAGGAGCCCGCCTGAATGGGCCCGGCTGATCAGCAACAACTCCATATAGGGGCCCGCCTGAATGGGCCCGGCTGAACAGCAGCCCAGCAACTCATCATAGCAACATCATACGAACATCTTTGCAGCGAGTGGACTAGAACATGAGGACTGAACTGCAAGTATCGTCACTGAGAGACTGATCATCAAGATATTATCTATGCAGAAGCCGTTGCAAAATACTGCGCGTGCAAACCGGACTGCACTGATATCATGTGTGCAGGAAAAATACCGTCCGCACAGGGTCTGATATAAATATCGTCCATCCAGAGACTGATCAGCAAAAAGTCAAATCAGCGGGAGTTGGGGCTACTCATACCATCAGAGACATCCTGTTATATCCTCGGGACTAATCACACTCGCTGGGCATACGTCCCCGACCATCATATTGGCGGGACATGCGTTCCAAAATCATTAGAGCACACACTCGTATAGCCTACTCGAGCCTAGGCGCACTCATGTGATGATACCAAGCATGGGCGCGCATGGCCGCGCACTCAAATGACAAGCACTAAGCTTAGGCGTGCATGGGCGCGCGCTCAAATCACAGTTCCAAGCTTGGGTGCGCATGGGCGCACTTTTAAAAGGCAATGCTAAGCTTGGGCGCGCATGGGCGCGCACTCAAATATCAACTCCAAGCTTGGGTGCGCATGCGCGCGCACTCTAATATCAATATCAAGCATCGGCGCGCACTCAAATATCAATGCCAAGCTTGGGTGCGCATGGGCGCGCACTCAAATATCAACGTCAAGCTTTGGCGCGCATAGGCGTGCACTCATATAGCAATACCGAGCTCGGGCGCGCACGGGCGCACACTCGTATAGCAATACCGAGCTCGGGCGCGCATGGGCGCACACTCCAACAGCAATGCCAAGCTTGGGCGCGCATGGGCTCGCACTCCAGAAGCAATACCAAGCTTGGGCGTGCACGGGCGCCCACTTAAATAACACTATCTAGCTTGGGCGCGCATGGGCGCGCACTCTAATATCACTGCCGAGCTTATACGTATGGGCGCACACTCTAATATCAATGCCAAGCTTGGGCGCGCATGGGCGCGCACTCTAGCAGCAATACCAAGCTTGGGTGCGCACGGGCGCGCACTTAAATAACACTATCTGGCTTGGACGCGCATGGGCGCGCACTCTAATATCACTGTCGAGCTTGGGCGCGCATGGGCGCCTGCCCAAATGGCACTGCCCGCTGCAAAATACAAAATCACGATTGACAAGTCAAACAGCAAAGTGCGCAATGGCGCCCAGTCCCGAACTCGACAGTGTCTGTTGCGGAACACAGAATCATGATTCGCAAGGTTTACTTCGGCACGCAGACTTAAATTCGTCAAAAGCCGAGTTTTGCAAATCGGGTATGCGGTGTCGCACTTAAGATCAAATGCGCACAGTCACGCTTGCTCAAGATCATCAATGTTGTGTTTTAAGGGTTGAGTGCGCAATGCCGCACTTACTCAAAATCATCAATGCAGAGTTCTCAGACGTAGTACACGCTGTCGGACTACATCAAAAGTGGCATTTCTCGAATAAAGAGCGCAGTGTCGCACTCAAGTCTGAGTGCGCACAGTCGCATTACATCAAGTGTACTCAGAGTCAATATGCCTCATCAGAGCGTCTGCTGGCACAGTAAATCGACAATAAATCGAGATGCTCGACTGAGGTGCCAGTGGGTACAGTAAATCGACTTGCTCAATTTGAGTGCCTGCGGGCACAATAAATCAAGATGCTCAACTGAAGTGCCAGTGGGCACAGTAAATGGACTTGCTCAATTTGAGTGCCTGCGGGCACAAT